TCACTTGAGAGATGCAAAGTTCATCTGGAGGCTAAGGGTTTTACATAGTTATATGGGGTTGACTATAATGAGTCTTTTGCTCTTGTAGAAAAATTGAAATCAGTTCGTGTACTTTTATCTATTGCAATAGATATGAAATGGCCACTCCACCAATTAGATGTAGTGAATGCCTTTTTGCATGGAATCTGCAAGAGGACGTGTATATGGCTTTACCACCAGGATTTTATTCTTAGGGGGAGAAAGGGAATGTCTACAAGTTTATGAAATCTATATGAAACAATCATTCTATATATGGATTGAAACAATCACCTTGGGCTTGGTTCAAAAAATTAAGTATGGCAATATGTTTGTTCGGATTTGAGAGAAGTGTTTCTGATCATTCAGTGTTTATTAAAAGAGATTCTTATTCTACCACAATATTGATAGTCTGTGTGGATGATATAGTGCTCACAAGAAATACTGATCATGAGATTCAAAAAGTGAAACACTTTTTTAGGGATGTTTCTGACATCAAAGATCTTTGTCCATTGAAATGCTTCTTTGGAATAGAGTTGGCTAGGTCTAGACGAGGATTTTTTTTGTCACAAAGAAAGTATACTCTTGATCTCCTCAATGACACATGAATGCTTGGAGCCAAACTAGTAGAATCTCACATAGGTGTTTATCACTAATTGTATGATCAGCAGTTAGAGCCCTTGAGGAATCCTGGTCTATATCAGAAATTAGTGGGGAGACTTATTTATTTGGTTGTCACATGGCTAGACATTGCATATGTTGTAAATGGTGCATGGTAGATTATGCATGCACCATGCTCCCTCCATTTGGAAGTGCTTATCACAATTTTACGATATTTAAATATGCTCTAGGGAGAGGGATACTTTATACTAGTCATGGTTGCCTTGATGTACAAGGTTCTTGCGATTCAAATTGGCCAGGTGTTCCCTTGATTGACAAGGTACCAGTGGCTACTTTATGACAACCGGTGGTAATTTAGCCACTTGGAAGAGTAAGAAACAGAGTGTCATAGCTTGATCTTCAGCAGAAGCCAAATATCGAGCAATAGCAAGTTCTACATGTGAAATAATTTGGCTATGTTCTCTTCTTCAAGAGATAGGTGTTAATGTGTCAACTCATATTGCTCTATGTTGTAATAATCAAGCGGCAATTTATATTGCCTCAAATCTTGTATTCCATGAAAGGACTGAGCGTATTGAGGCCGACTGTCACTTCGTTAGGGAAAAGGTCACTTCAAAGACCATTGTCATCATCATGCAAAGCTTATCTCAATTATTTGGGGGTAGGCGACATGAGTCATGTTTTTCCATTCTTCTCTATCAAAGGCCATACCTTTAGTAAGACCAAAAGTCACCATATCTTTTCTCACTACATCTATCCATATCCTTTTGGGCCTTCCCTTTGCCCTTTTAGAGCATTTCACTTGAACCAAATCGTGCCTCCTAACTAGTGTTGTATTAGGTCTACGCTGCATATGTCTAGCCCACCTAAGTCTACTTTCCCTCATCTTATCACCTTTTGAAGACATACCTAAGTTCCCTCTTATGTATTCATTCTGAATTCTATCCTTTCTTGCCTTTCCACTTATCCATGTCAATATCCTCATCTCAGCTATGTTCATCCTAGAGATATGTTGTTTCTTGACCGCTTAACATTCCATCCCATAAAGCATGGCTGGTCTTACAACCGTCTTATAAAACTTCCCCTTCAGTCTCAATGGTATGCAATGATCACATAAAACTCCGGATGTGCATCTCCACTTTGCCCACCTAGCTCTAATTTTATTTGTGATATCTTCCTCAATATCTTTATTCTCTTGAATTATCAACCCTAGATATAAAAAACGATCTCTCTTAAGTATTTCTCGACCATCAATCTTAACTACTTCCTCGTTTCTACTCCTTTTATTACTAAATTTGCATTTCATATATTCCGTCGTAGTCCGGCTAATTTTAAAACCATTAGATTCTAGAGCATCCTTCCAACATTCTTACTTTGCATTGATGTCGCCTCTAGTCTTATCAATCAAAACTATGTCTTCTGCAAAAACTTGTAGGTGCCTGTTAACTCGTCCATAGCCAAAACAAAGAGATATGGGTTCAGCGTTGACCCTTGATGTAAGCCCATTGTCATTGAGAACTTGTCTCTCCACTAGTTGTCCACACACTAGTTAGCACTCTCTCGTACATATCTATCACAATGTCAATATAACCTCTGGTGACTCCTTTCTTTTGCAACACCTGCTAAATTAAATATCTAGGTACCCTATCGTGTGCTTTCTCCAAATCAATAAAGACCATGTGGAGGTCTGTTCCTTCACCCTTAACTTTTCAATTAGTTGCCTAGGTAAAAAATGACTTCGATAGTGGAACCTCTAGCATAAAACCAAACTGATTTTCTGATATACTCAATTCATGCCTGAGTCATTGCTCAACCACACTCTCCCATAGCTTCATAGTGTGGCTCATAAGTTTAATCCCTCGACAGTTCGTACAATTCTCTGTCTTCTTTGGTCTTGTAAATAGGTACCACAATACTTTTCCGCCATTTGTTTGGCATTTTCTCTATTCTCAACACACTTTATTATTGAACAACTTGGTAAGCCAATGTATGCCAATCCTATCTTCATCTTTCTTAAACCTTCTTTCACTTCAGATATTCTAATCCTGCGAATGTAACTTTGACCTCCGCCCTCATTTATGTTCCTCCTAACATTGTGTTCCCATAGTGTTTGTTATTTTACAATTTTTGAAAATAAATTCTTCACCTGTTATTGATCTCGCCATCTTTCACCAGCATCCTCTGACCCTCACTTTAATGCATCTAATGTGATCTAGATCACTACACTTCTCACTCATTTTTGCTAGTTTGAAGACTTCTTTTCACCTTCTCTTGTCCCCAGTTTATTGTATAGATTATCATATGCTTTAAGTTCAGCCGTACTATTTTCTTAGCATTTTTCTTATCATTTTCCTATTCTTCGAAGTTTCATCATTTCTGTTACATTACCAAGCTTTATAATATGGTCACTAATAGCCTTCTGAACCTTCTCACTCCACCACCAGGTTTCTTTGGATAAATTTCTTTTCCCTCTAGTTTCTCCTAAAACTTCTTTTGCCACTTTCTTAATACAGTCGACCATCTCATTCCACTTTACATTAAAGACGATATGTACTCCATTTGTTTGCTCCAAGAATCAAATTGGCAAACGTACTTACCGAGGTCTCTAATCAAGTTCGACTAATGGATACTTTGGCATATTGAAATCTATGATATATATGCTCTTTAGCTTGAGGGGAACTGTAGTGACCATTATGGGGCCTACACCCATTAAAGGAACATGCCAATAGCCATCATGGATATCATGCTCATTATGGAAACGTGCATGTGTTGATAAGGTATATAGTATTCTACCATACTTAGGTATTTTTCTTATTAAAACTATTATCTTATTTGGGTGATTTTCCTATTGTAACAGTCGTCATATTTGGGTGATTTCCTACTATAATTGCTATACATGTTGACCTATCAGTATTGTAACTTCCATCGGGATCTGTGTATATATATGGCACATTGCCCCACAATTTGTATAGAGTGCAAAGACATATATACTTTATCTTCTGCTTGAATATTACTTTCTCTCATCTCTCTCAATCTTAACACCTATGAAGAATCCTAGAAAATGGATCCTTGAAAGTTAATGAAGGGAACTCTCATATGGAACACCCATCTCTTTCAGGGAGGGGACAAACAAAAGTATTACCTTATTCTTTCAAGGTGCTTCTGCACTCAACTCTAGTAGATTCCTTCAAGGTGCTTCAGTACCCAATTCTAAGTAGATTCCTTCAAGGTGCTTCAGTACTCAATTCTAGGAAACTGCTTTCTCTTCATATGTTTAATTGTGAAAATATCTATTAAAGCCTTGGCGACAACCGCTTCCAAGTTGCTTAGCATCTAAAATTAGTAAATTCTAATAATTTAAAGCTTTTTGCTAGCTCTAGCTGATCCAGTCTTCTGATTTTACTGCCTTCTAACGTTATGCATTGAGTGCAGTGAATTTCACATGTTTCCAGAAGCATCGTAATTATAATTCAATGACCCTTGTGGGTTCAACCAGCTTATGACGAAAACCGGTGGTAATTGCAGAAAGTAATGATGGATTATTTTTGGATTGATTCTTCATCCTTGATGTACCTTTAATTAACGGTGTGGACCTTGACAAGATGAAATTCCACCTTGAACTTCATGGTGTTTTTCCTGTATAAGCTGATTTCCCTTTCTACATGGACCTTAAATACCGTTCGTTGGCAACTATTACGACTGCCAGTGAGGAAAACATAAAAAAAAATAGAGATGGGGCAATTGATTAGAAGATGATACCTTAAAAGCAAAGGGTTAAAAGATGATGCAAGAGAAAAAGCGATAAAAGTTGGGAGAGGAAGTTTTGGTTTCTAAGCATGACTGTTGTCTTTTGATCATTGATGATAAACAATATTCTTTCGACATGAATATGTAAGTATGTAAATAACTATAAACCTAATGATACGTGGTTTATAATGCGTAAATATTGTTGTATGTTTGATGTGTTTTTTATTGATGTATCAATGATTTTATATTTTGGCATTTATGCCTCAATGTACCTGTATTGCTTTTCCAAAATTGTTGCACCTGTTATTCTTACCTATGGTCTTGGTATACCCATTTACATTAACATGCATGTGTAACCAGCTAATAGCATGTTACATATCATTTTCTTTGAAACGTAAACTTTTGTCTCTTTGGGTAAAGTGAACGTAAAACTTGAACACTGAAGATTGTGTAAATCCTTATTTGAGTTTTTGATCTTGTGTTGGATATCGGAGTTGATTAATGTGAGCTCTACCACACATGATTGCAATTAGGGATGTTAAATATAGTACTGATAAATAATTCTCATTGGACCTCACGAAGAAAAGAATATTAAAAGGACTTGATATATTTTGCAGGTGATGGAAGTGACATGCAGTCCGCCCTTGAGGAATGGACAGGACAGTGGACCATCCCCAATGTATTCATTGGTGGCAAGCATGTAGGCGGTTGCGACGGTTAGATCTTCTCTCATGCTTTTTTGTCGTTCCTTTTCTTGGTTTTTAATTAACTTGAAATTAGTTTCTTTTAGCTATTTTTTGCTTGAAATTTGTTTTGTTTTTTTTCTTGGGTGCATGAATTGAGTCAGCCATTGTTTTATACACTTGACTGTTTCAGCATGCGTGGCCACGCACAAAAAGGGGGAGCTTGTGCCCATGTTGACAAAGGTTGGTGCAGTCGCTGAATAAAAGCTAAAGGAAATACATAAATGGGAAATGTAAAAACCCATATTAGGAGATTGGAAAAGTGGCTGTAGTCTCTTGCTCCTTTAGCATACTGTAGTGAGGTTTTCTTGCCATGTTTTAAATTCCTGTGTGGTTTTCTTTTAGAATGATATTAAACTGCTGTGTAATTGAATGTATATGTTGTGTTTCTCCCTGTATACCTTTGGCCTACCCATTCTCTGTCTTGCGACGATGGATTTAATATCTGTAATTGTAATAAACTTAAGCAGCATAGGTAACTTCTCATAAATTTTGGCTGAAAAACATTACAGAATTTTTTGCATGTGCGTGTCAATTTAGGGACAAATCTGAATATGAAAACTGAATGTTTATTGCCTGGTAGTGACTTGTGGAGACATCCTGATGAGGCTTAAGATATGCTGTGTGGACATGTTGAGTTTCAAATTATCTGATGTTATGTATAAACTTTGTGTATGTTCAACTGTGTTTTGCATTAAGAAGTTATGTATTAATCCTTAAATTGTTCGGTACTTTGGAAAGTTCTTCAAACTTCATTCACTCTTGGAAATAAAAGTGAGTCGTACTCAATTTTCTTGGACTTTTGAACTTTTATGACTGCTGTGCCTTGCGGTTTGGTTACCTCTAGGATCTGAACTCAAGTTTGGGACTATAATTTGAATAATAGGGTTGAGAAGCGTCCTAGATTCGACAATAGAATCCATTTTGTGTGCGTTTATGTATTGTTGAATCTTTTTGTGTATGTATGAGAGAGAGAGAGAGAGAGAGAGAGAGAGAGAGAGAGAGAGAGGATTGATTGATTGCTGTCTGAAATGCATGTAATGCATGAGCGACTTGCTATGGTTATTATGCCTTATATGTGAAGCATACTAGATTTGGCTATAGAATCTATTTTGTGTTGAGTAAGTGAGAGAGATTCACGCTAAACACGGACAATATATAGTTACTTATAGATGCCCGAGTGAATTTCTATAGTACTTAACTCATGATTCATTTCCATTAGATGGCCATGAACGGTCAATAGTATTTGATTTTTAACTTTTTTATCTGAAATTTGGGGTTTGTGTATACATTTTTTGTAATCATTTTCGTATATAAAAATAAAATATAAGAAAATGATTACAAAAAATGTATGGTCAGAATATCCCTAAAATATTCACAGGGATATTAGTGTTTGAATTTTAATTTTTTTTTTTATAGAAAAAATTTATATAATGATGAGGTTCTAATCAATCAAATTAAGGTGCATCTCAAAACTTTGGTAGAAGAAGTTGTTTCGATACTAAAAACTCTCAAATCCGATCATCTCGACCTTGAGATACATGAATAAAGAAGAGTTTTGAAAATAGTGCATCTTGTAACATATTATCTAGACAATCAATTTTCAAGATTTTGAAGCGATCATAGAATTGCTTTCTATTTTATCTACATTTTATTTAGCTTGAAATTTCATAATTGGAGATGAAAATAAAATTTCATTCCATCATAAAGATTTTTGGTGTTGAAACGACATTTTTCAATAGTATTTGAATATGTCTTATTTTGATTGTTTAGGGCTTCAATTCAGGTGTGTCCTACTTTGAATGATTAGGGCTTCAGCCTATACAAACTACATTTTTTTTATATATTTTTTAGTATACGTCTAAAATTTATCTCAATTTATTTTTTATAAGAAGGATTAATTTAAATAGTGATATATGTTTTTAACAATCTGATCAAGATCTGATTGGATGTGCGTTTTATTTTGAGTGTTTAAGGTTGCAACCTTATGCAAACCACATACACATTAGATCATTGCCCATATATATGAGTTATGTTAGGGTGTTTATCTTATGGAGTAATTTACAATTTTGGACATTTTTATACCATTGTTTTGTACATTGATTATTTATTTATTAAGGGTATTTTTGATCATTAGAAGGGATGTGACCTCATCCATATGAAGTGTGACATCATATATATATATATATATATAAGGAAAAAATTATCAATTGCTTGACATCTATAATGAATAATGATATAGGTGGAATTTTAGTCGTCAGATCTTTATCAGGTGGTTCGAAATACATATCATCATCTAAATTTTAATTTTGTTTTGGGAAATCAGATTGTGATGAAATTTTGGGAGTGTGTACTAAAACATAGGGTGCACAAGAAAAATATAAAATAAATATTTTTCAAAATATAAATGGACTAAAATATCCCTTAAAAATTATAAAGGCGATTTGGTCATTTTAAATTCTTGAAAGTATTTTTATTTTCATCTATCAATCTGTTCTTAAAAAAATATTAAAATTTAGATTTTTTGAAAAAATATTAAAATTTAGATAATGACATGTATTTTGAATCACGCGATGAAGATCTGACGGTTGGGAACTACGTATATTACTATTCATTATAGGTGTCGTCTTTTGGTGGCTTTATATTTAGAGCAAGCTTTATATGCTTCCCCTATAACATAAAACTTATATACTTCCCTTTATTCAACCGTCAATTCTGAATGGAAGGTTAAGGTTGTTCCAATCACAATGTCATGTCGTTACACTATTTTATTTTTATTTGTTTTTCCTATAAACTATTTTAACACCAAATTTTGTACGTCCAATCATCTATTAAACTCGCACTAAAGAAAAATATATAAAAAAATATTTTCAATAAAATAAAATGACCAACATGCCCCTGAAAGTTTCAAGGGGTATTTTGGTCACTATATTTTATCACAAAATTATTTGTAATATTTTGTATAGGTGCGCCCTAATGGGAAGATGGCATGTACCAAATTTTATATTCATAAAATTTGTGTAAAAAAACTAAAAATAAAATACTTTGAAACGTCGGATCTAACATCAAACGGTGAGTGGTTCTCTTGATCAAATTTGGCCGGTTGGATGGTAGGGGATGCATAGATCCTCTACGTTGTAGGAAAAGTATAGAAACTTTTTCCTTATCTTTATATACACATATGTGCAAAATTGTTCTATGTATAAAACAAGAATATATAAGTATATAAATTTTATTGAGTACAATATAAAATGTTTTATGGTGTGAGCACCTTAACATAACCCAATATTTATATAAGCCCACTAACCTATAGTTACATATGAGCCCAACAACTCAATCTGGACCGATCCAAGGATCACGATTACAATTTGTATTTGAATTTTAATATTATTTTTTTCTTCTATAAATCAAAATCACTTGAAATTTTGAGCATGCATTCTTTAAAAATAGGATAATCTAATAAAAATATCAAAAAAATAATTTGTAGAAATAAATTGATCAAAATACCTCAAAAATATTTCAAAGATATTTTGATCAATTTATTTTTTTTGAATTATTTTTTTAATATTTTTATTAGTTGCAGCTTGATTAGAAGAATAGACGTCTAAAATTTCAAATGATTTGGATTTTTTGAAAAAAATTAAAATTTTAATACAAAATGAGATTGTGATAGTCAGATCGGTCCAAATTCTCATATGTAGCTATAAGCTAGTGGGCATCATTTCTATAGCTATGAGTAAGGAAAGTTCCTCAAGTTAAGAAAGATTTTTCTATCAATGTTCATGTATGCACTTCACTACGGCAAAGATAATGTGTTTGCGTTCTCAAACATTTGAACTTGATAAATTTCAAAACCCGTTTTGATGTGTGGGCTATTTAAATTAGATAAAGGGTTAGGGTTGAATAGTTCGATTCGTGGAATGATTCAATAAACTTTCTACATTAATATACTAGAATTTTCAAAGTGCTCCATAGATATTATAAATTTAGTAAAAGTACCCCTGAATCATAACGGATTTCAACATAAGAAAAATGTTAAAAAAACGCATGGCCTTATGGAAAAACAAAGCCTCATCAAAACTCATTGAAAATTGCAGTTTTTACGCTAAAAAAACTTTCAAATCGATTATCTTGACTTTGACCACTATGGTTATGAAAAAAAAAGGATTCAAGTTTTAAAAATAATATATATTGTAATGCATCTAAATAATCTATTTTCAACTGTTCACATATTTGCAAGATCTACATCATTTTTTTAGCTTTAAATTTTATAGGTAGTATTTGAAAATTGATTTTAGAGTCGTCATAGATATTTTAGCTACCCAAATTGCTTTCTAGACTAAGATTTGAGGTGAAGCTCAACGTTATACTCAATGTTATGTAATGTTTTGCATTGGAACTCAAATTCTCATCAACCACAAAACAGTAGACAGGGACCACGTGTTACAAGATATATTATTTTTAAAGCTTGAAATCTATTTTTTTTCTAAATCCATAATTGTTAAGGTTGAAATGATCAATGCATTTTGCCAAAACAATAATTCTAATAGGATTTGAGTTGCACCTAGTGTAAAAAAACTCAAACCGGAATAGATAACTGGATATGAGGCTGGAAGCAATTCAACCGGCCTAACCGGACAAGTCTTGGGCGGTATAAAAACTGTTCAAAAAATACAAAAAAATATAATTAAATATAAAAAATATATTTCAAGCATAATGAAACAAAACGCATCCAAATGAAGTTCAAAATTAATGAAAAATGGATATCAAATAATCAATTTGTTCTCAAAAAAAGATGGGAAAATGTAAAAATAAGTATTAATGGCCAAAAAATTTTCAATCTTTGCTAAAATGATAAAAATTTAAAAATATATTACAAATAAAATCCCTTACTTTTGAGATTTTATATTTATTTTTTTAAAATACTTGGCCAGTTCACCAAAATGAGTTGAAATTGAAACCGACTATTTCTGATTTAATCGGGCACCTGTTGCACCTTTAAAAAGTTGCGCACCTTTTCCTTTATACAGGTACATTTACATCTGCTCGTTTTGCATGCATTCATATTAGGGTGTGGTTTCTATAAGGTTGCAACCTTAAATAATTCAATTAAGGCGCATCTCCAAATTTGATGTAATTTTAGTGTAAAAGATTTTTAAGATTATCTGAAAATCTATTTTCATATCCAATTATAACATTTTAAAATCCAAAAACGATTAAAATCAAATAGATCTATAAACATATGACAGTCTAGATAATATATTGAAAGATGCACTATTTTTAGGACTCAAAATCTTTTATTTTTTTATATTCATACATCTCGATATCGAGATGATCAATTAGAGGGTTTTTTAAACATTAAAACAACTTTTTTCGATGGAATTTTGAAGTGCATCTTTAATTCTACACTTTAAGGTTGCAACCTCATATAAACTTTTTCCTTCATATTAAGGGAAGCTTTCTGTATGCCACTAGGCTATGGAATTTATATTGGGAAAAGTTTATATGGAACGGAGGCTCTAAACAATCAAATTAGAGCCTACTGCAAAACTTGCATTAGATCAGGTGGTTTCAATGCTCAGATATCCTCAAATTGATCATCTCAATATCAAGATGCATGGACATGAGCAAAAAATCGATTTCAAGTTTTGGAAATAGTGCATTTTGTAACGCATTTTTTGACCATCAATTTTCAAGATTTTTAGGTTTTCATAGATCTGTCAATCTACACTATTTTTTAAGCTTTAAACTTTATAAATAAAGATGAAAATATATTTTAAAGTTATCACAAAGATTTCCAATATTGAAACAACATATCTCGACACTATTTGAAGGTAGGCTTTAATTTAATTGCTTAGAACCTAGGCTCTATACCGCACCCATATATATATATATATATATATATAGAAAAAGTTTATATCGAGCCTAGGCTCTAAACAATCACATTTGAGCCTACCTCAAAAATTTCACTAGATGAGATTGTTTTGATGCCAAAAAATCCTCAAATTGAT